CGCATGTCCATGAAGGAGGTGGACGAGCAGATGCTGGCCGTGCAGAGCAAGAACAGCAGCTACTTCGTGGAGTGGATCCCCAACAACGTCAAGGTGGCCGTGTGCGACATCCCGCCGCGCGGCCTGCAGATGGCGGCCACCTTCATCGGCAACAGCACGGCCATCCAGGAGCTGTTCCGGCGCATCTCCGAGCAGTTCTCGGCCATGTTCCGGCGCAAGGCCTTCCTGCACTGGTTCACGGGCGAGGGCATGGACGAGATGGAGTTCACCGAGGCCGAGAGCAACATGAACGACCTGGTGTCCGAGTACCAGCAGTACCAGGACGCCACGGCCGACGACGCGGAGGAGGCTTTCGAGGACGGCGAGGAGGAGACGGACGAGTAGGGCGCTGCCCCGGCTGGGACGCTGGAACGCACACGTGCCTTCTCTGGCTCTGTGCGTCCTCCCTGACGGCCTCCGACTGCTGCCCCGGTCTCCACGTGTGGTCCAGGCCCCTCACAGGTGCAACACGGTGGTGTGAACGGTCATCCTAATAAATGCTTTCAATAGGAGGAGGAGTTCCAACCCATCGGAAGACCAGACCACACGGATTCTCCACCAGAGGACTTGAAAGAAATAGCTGAGGGGCCATGCAAGGCTGAAGACATAAACCTCACCTTGCATCAGCGGTCCAGTCGTCTGAGAAGTAGCAGGGAAGTTAGTCTTTTTTCATCCTCTGTGATGAAACCCGAAGCTGTGCAGTGTTGCCTTATTTGAGTATGCAATATGGAACTCCGAAACAATCAATTCGTAATAAAATGCTAAACTTGTGCCTTTGTCTCTTGCAGCCGTGTGCTTATTTGACAGGTAAGTTACTCTGCATAGTTACGATGGCTGCTCTGGTCACAGTCTCTCCCTGCTCTCAGCAACCCCCCGCCCCCCATCGCTAAGGAACAGTGGAAAGGGCTCTCCTTACACTGCAGGCTCTGAGGAGGGCAGCCACCACTTTCCAGAGCTCAAAAGTGGCAAAGGCACGAATAAAAGCCCTTCTTCCCCGTTGGCAGCCACCGTTTAGTCCTTCCGCAGAATCTGTCATCCGACTCCCAACCCTCTTGCAGAGGAGCCACGGGACATGCAGTCCCCCTTTCTGGCAAAGCCGGGTGCCGGCAGTGGAAGGTGAAAGGCCTTTTCTGCTGTAAGCCCCCGCTTGGTTTCTACAAGCCGCAGCTTCTGTGGAAGGTCTTTCTAAGTCAAACTCCGCAGGGCACGACCAGGTTAGCTTTGCTAGTAATTGGTGTAAACCTTGCTGTTCACCGTTATTTCTGGTTTACTTCTGTGAACATGTGACTTTGCTCCAGCCCCAAGAACTAGTGTGGCATGTCACCTCCAGGTGGTGGTGTTGCACACTAGTGCCCACCTCCTGCTCTTGCCTCGAGGGCAGCCCCCAGCCCTCGGGTCCAGGTCCCTCCAGGTCCCGAATAACCGAGCTGAGCAGCGCCCCTCTGACCTGTGTAGGACGGGGATCAACGAACCTTTGTTGTTTGGAGCTACTGAGGTTAGGGTCACCTGCAGCGTGACCAGATGGCCATGCTCTGCGATCCCCAGCCTTACATTCCGTAACTATTTGTTTTGTGTAAAGCCTCGGCCTCCTGTAGATGGAAAGTTTACCACCAAACATAGCGTGATGCCTTGAGGTGAACACAGATGTCATTCTGCAGAAATCTGAATTATTTTGTGAGACTACTGTAAAAATAAATGTGTCCAGCTCACCATCCTCATCTATCCTGGAAATGAGCTGGGTTTGACCTTGGAGGAGAGAACAGGCTCTACTGGCCCCTCCTCGTACAGACCAGCCACGGGGGCAGGGCTGAGTGGCTGTTTCAGACCACACGGGCGGCCGTCTAAAGCTTACCTCGTGAGCAATGGGTGAGATGGGTGCCATCTGACTGTCTCGTGGGCAGCTTTGTCACTTATTGAATCAAGCCTGGCCCGTGGTGGGCCCCTCCCTCACCCCAGGGAGGCCTCCCAGCCAAGGCCCAGCAGGACGCAGGCAGGGGCACGGCTCCTGCGCCGGTGTGCGGGTGCGGGGTGGAGGGCATCTCCTAATCGTCTACTGCCTGTGGAAAAGGGCCACTAAAAACCCTACGACTGGGTCTCACAGTCTGGAACCAAGCGTTCACGGAGCTGCCTCCCGCAAGCGTCCTGTGAGGAAGGGAGGTGGTCAGTGTGTCACTCCGGGTCACTGGGCCCAAGGGAGATGTGGGTGGGGGGCGGAGCCGAGGCGGCGCCCATCCTCCCGCAACGTGGCGTCTGTGGAGTCCAAACAGCCGCTTCTGTGGCTGCCGTGGCGCGGGCAGGGGCCTCAGGCCTGCAGAAGGGTGGCCACAGGATAGGGGTGCGTGGCTCAGGCCCCTCCTAGGATGCCACCAGATTCTGTCTTAAATCTAAAAAGTCACCGATCCGATAACATCAACAATACACAAGGCAAATTGCAACAACATTAGATAGAGGAGGCTGCTCAAAAAGTAAATATTTAAAAATGCAAAAATGCTGGTACTTCCAAGTCCAAATGTAGCGACAGCTGAAGACTCAGCAAGTCTACGGATGCTGAGTTGGTTTCCGCCTTGCAGGCGCTGGCTTTTCCGGAACCGCATGCACAGTAACTCCTTTCTCGCAGAGAACGGGACAGCTTACCATTGAGACCACTTCCGAGACGTGGCAGGAGGTCCAGGGCCTAGGGCAGCCCCAGCTGAGAACCACTGTCCCTTCTTTGAGATCCAGCACAGCCTGCCAGGCCCGCGAAGGTTATGCACTGACTTCTAGAGCCAGCAGGTGTGACCAACATCTGGTCCCAACCGGCCTCATGAGGACCTGAACTGGTGTGGTCACCATGGAATCTCGTGGTAACTCGGGACCAGCACACTTTCTGTCCACATCTCAGCGCCTCGCCGCGGGCCGCACGAATCTACACCGAGCCTCCCAGGGAGCCGATGAGAGCAAGAGTGAGGCTTTGACGGAGTCCACTCTGCAACGAACACTTAATTTCCTACCATGATGTTTTCCAAAAGTACCCGCAACACAAAGTGACCCTTTGCATGTTCAGGAGAAAAAAGCACAGTGTTTACATTTTATTTTTGATGTAAAGAAGCCATATTTACACAATACATTCATATTTTTAAATATGTTACAGCTCTCTGTAGAAAACCATTCCATTAAGACAGCAACAAGTGATCTGATTCCAATTTTAAAATATTAAGTCAAATTAAAATATTCTTATCAAGACTCCAAGACTCCAATTTAATTTCACAGCCCATTTGCAGAGGGAAACTGAAGAGAAACGGTGATAAGCACTGGGTGACGGAGAGAGAATAATACCTCCCCCCACGCCGTCGAGCACCCGCTCTCCCTGGACTCTCCCGGCACCCGTCCGGCCAGGCTTCAGGACGGTGCCACAGGGACCAGCCTCGGCGGCGCTGGGCTCGACTGTTCCAGCTGCCATCTGGGAGCCCGGCAAGGCTGTGGGACAGTGCGAGTCTCCCTCAAAGTCCCCGCTCATCCCTCTGTGACTTCTGAGGCTGAGGGTGAAGGACTCCTCTCCCCATCACTTCAGCTGGGTCAGTAGTTGGCTAAAATCAACTTAGCAGAGCTCTCACTCTTCCGAAAGCCAGGAAATCTGTGCCAACTGAACCCACAGAGGATAGACTTCAACAGCCTCCTCCTGGGATCTAGTTGGCGACTTTCTCCCCTGGGGGCTCCTCTTTCTCCTTTTCCCGCTCCTTGTTCCAGTCCTTAAGGCCTTCGGGAAGCGAGGTGTCCTCGTCCAAGCTGCCCGTACCTTCCACAAATTCTTCGTAAGTAGATTTTTCTGCAAATGGTCTGGGGCCCAAAAGTTCAACCATATCATTCTTATCTAATACTTCTTTTTCTAATAATAGAAGAGCAACCTGAAACAAAAACAGTTGCCATTAAATACTGTTACTTAGCAAAGTCTATTCAAAGGTAACAGTGTTCTCATTTATAGGTGACCCCATTCTGAAAAAAGGACTTAAGGTCAATGAAAAAGATGTCTCAGACGTAAGGTCACATAGTTTTGGAGTAAGATGTGCAAATTACTGGAAACGATAAACGGCCACCAGTAAGGGAGTGCCTAGACACACGCTGATACAGCTACACAACAAAAGCTTAGGCGTCTGCATAAGCTGTTTACTAGACATCTCGGAGACACATATTTCAATGGAAAAAGCCAAGATGCACAATGTGTACGACGTGTTATGTTTGCTTTCAAGAGGTGGGAAGAATATTATCTTTTTATGTGCTGTTAAAGCAAAATGAGCAGGAGTCCATTAGCCTGGGGTTATTTCTCTGCCTAAAACCCTTACACAAGCAAACTGGCACTTAGAGTCATCCCTTGTAACTAATTAATTTTATGCCAAGCTTTAGCCAGTCATAGACAGCGAACTAGCCAATTGGTAATATAACTTGAGACCTTCCATGGGACCATATTTGCATTGGGTAAACGCCTAGCAATAGCCTACCAAGTAAATTATGTGTTGCATATTGTCAGCTACAGACCACACATACACCGGTGGTCCCATAAGATTGTAATACCGTAGTTTTTTTTTTTAGATAGGGTCTCACTCTGTTGCCCAGGTTGGAGTGCAGTGGTGTCATCATAGCTCACTGCAGCCTCCAAC